ATTGGCGCCACGTAGCGAAAAGAAGAAACGACTGGCGCGCTGTTGTTAACTCGGCTATAATCGCGTAAGCGGTGACTACGCCAATCAAGAAGAAGAAGAAGAATGAGCTCAGTTATATTGTATGCGGCTCCAATATTGATACAGACGCTGGACATAACAGAACAGAATGTATAGAAGATTCTGAACGCGTACTCAATCATTGCCCTCGGTTTTGAAGTAAAAGAGAAAAGCTGAAATCCACACTTGGAGATAGTCTCAGGGTTGAAAATTTGACTGCACTTATGTGCGAGCTGTCAGCGAATCGGCAGCTCTAATTATGATAAGATTGAGACATTTACGACAGATTAGGCGTCATTTAGTCCGTACAATAGAGAAGATTAAAGGTCTTCTTCCCTCCCATGAAGTAATACTTTGTCCAGTGATCTCGTGGGAGAGACATAAGATGGGAGCAAGTTAGGTTTAGTGGATTAAAGTCACGCACTCCAGCTTTCGATGCTTCCTCCTGCTATGAAACAAAATACCAGCTATATGCAATAGTGGTCCTGTAAAATTTCAGATCGATATCTTAAAAACTGAGAAACTAGTTCGCCTACATAAAAACCATTTTAGAAATATAGAGTCAGTCTAATATTTTTATTTTGAGAGCGAAGACGCTACATATGTAGCTTGCCTTTTACATTTTGACAAAAAAGCTCAAGGAAATTGTAATTAAATTCTCTGGGCATATGATATTTCATAAAAATGTATTTAAAAAATGGAGAATATGTGCTTTGAATGTGTTATAGAGTGTTAGTGAGTCCGTTCGAATGATTTTAGTAGATATTCGGAGTATGAAACGCGTTCTTGCTCGATTCGTCCCTTTAAAGCTGATTTTTTTTCAAAAAAAATACCATAAACATGTCTCTTTGAACATGCATGATCGTGCGAATTTCGATCCCACATTCATGGAGGGCATTATAATTGCCGCTGAGACATGGGTTTATGAGTTTGACATGCAAACAAGTTAACAATCAGCGTAATGGAACTCATTTATCGTCGATTGAAGACTTAGTGTTTCGAGGACGGGAAAAATCGTTTGTTAAATTGCATTACGTTCGGTATAGTTTACTTTGAAGGCAACAAAAAAATATTGATGAATTATTATGTATATCGGTTTTCTTGTTTTTTTCTTTTTAACACACGTTCCAATTTTGAGGACTAATAGCACAAATAGCGATTAGACACAATATTTGAATAGAAATACAAATATATACATTAGTGGTTTTTTTTTTTTGAAAATTATGAAATTCCGTAAAAATACCGTAAAAAAATTCCCTAAGAATTTGAGCCCTTAAGAGTTTTCATAGATGGTATGTAATAAAAAATCTATGAAAATTCCATACAGCCTTACGTAAAAAGCCGAATATCTGGAGAAGCATTAATGACAGTGATTTTGAACTTAGATAAAGTTAAATTTCCTACAACCTTGTCATGTATATTTTTTCTATAGCTCTTGTCATTTACGAGATATTTGTAAAAAAAAATGCGAATTTCATGAAAAGGGACATTTAGAGCCCTATGCCACCTCGCCGGTGTGAGTTACGACTTTGTTGTTTTTGTTTTGTAGAGTGAAAAGTTCTGAAAAATATGCCTCTAAAGTCAAAGCGAAGCCATAAAGTGTGTCTGAGCTATAGAAATTTAAATATATAAAAATCACGATTGTCCTGTATTTTCTATGGAAAATTTTTACATACCTTGGTCCAGTCCTTATTGTTAATATTGAGGGCTCAAATTTTCAGGGAATTTTTTTTTAGGGTATCTTCACGGAATTTGTCAAATATTGTGTCTAATCGCTATTTGTGCTATTATTCCTCAAAATGCGTTTATTTAAAAAAAACGGTACACTTAATAATTCATCAAATTTTTTTTGTTGCCTTCAAAGTAAACTATAACAAATGTAATACAATTTAACAAACGATTTTTCCAGTCCTCGAAACACTAATGGGATTGAAAACAATGAATGGTTCAAAAAAACAAAAAAATTAACACCCTAATATACATAAGTTTATCAAGGGACACGTTGGGTGTTGGAAAATCAATTATACTTGCAATACTGAGATGAATTTATTAATAACATATTCTTTATTTCCGTTGGTAAAAATGAATCTAGTTCCGTTACTACCGCTGCTCGGGGAACTCAGAGCCAAAAGTTGAAGTAATGAAACATTTTTGTCAGACAATTTTCTTTCAAACCCCATTCGATTAAGCATTTTTATTCAATACAATAATGCTAATGGAATTTAAACAGTTAACTTCTATCAAAAAAAGGGAATTTTTAATAACCGCAGCACAACATAATCCTACTAGTTTTCCATGATTAAATGTAGAACATCAATTTTCTAAGCAGACGCTTTATATTTATTCATTTGGAAACCCCATATAAACACAAAAATATGGGAAATGAAAAGCGGGCATATGCTTGAGCAAACGCAATAATTACGGCTTTTCCAGGCATGCATAAGCAGGTGTAAATATGACATTTTTAAGGAAGGAAATTTTTAATTGAAAATATTAAAAAAAAAAAATATAAAAAAATAAATAAATAAATAAAAAGAGAGCACAACAAACAAAAAATATTTCAGCGACAATTTGAAGCTCAGCTGTTAGTATGCTCATGGCTAGTAAACATTTTATTTTTTTTTACTTTTTTCATTTTTATTTTTCGAAAAGCCTAACAGACATGCTAGTCTACTCACGCTCTGCGTCTCCGAGACACTTGTTCGCCAGCAAACTCGCAGTCTGTCAACAGTGGGCCTCACCAATTAGCTCTTCACACTTGCCTGCTTGCTGCGTTGCTCTTTCGCATATTTGCGCCGATTTGTTTTACTTCCTTGTAACACACGTCTACATGTGTCTGTGCATGTGTGAGTTGTCGAAATTCGTACACTCTCGACCGCTGAAATGAGCTTCACAACACACACACACACACACTGATTTTTACCACATTAAAATCGATGAGTTTCCGTTGTTGGCGCTCACTTTATGTTTCTCATTAAAAAAAAAAAGCAAATAAAATGAAATTAAAAACAAGAAAAAAAATACGGTATCGCAATCGCAAAGTTTACATTTCACTTTCGATTTCGTTGGCGGTTGCGTGACTGTGCCGCACTGCGCCGGCGCAGAGGAGCGAACTGGAGGTAGGCAGTGGAGCGTGAGTGCGCAGTGCCGCGCTGTGGTGTGATGGATAAAAGTAAAATTGATATGTACCAATGCATTTACAATGCACAGCCTTGTTGTTGTTGTAACAATAAGTATGTGTGTGTGTGTGTGTGGGTGTAAGCATGTGCATTGAGATATTTATTTCACACTGGCATATTTTGTGGAAATATTCAGTGTCTCGGCGTCTCACAATTTCCCATTTCGGTTGAGATATTTTATTATTTCAAAATTGTTGTTAGCATTTCACTCTTTTTTTTTATATATATGTACATGTATGTATAAATATTTTGTGTTTTTTTATTTTTATTTTTTGTTTTTTTATGATTTTCGAGTTGCTGCCTGAGCCATCGATTCGTCTTATAGCTCGGCGCCAAACACAAACAGCAACAAATGTGCAAACTCCACACATGCTCATCAGCTGCATACGCGTGCGTAAGTGTGCGGCTGACAGCGTCATATGTGATTCGCTGTGGTATTTGGATTTAGAAACTTTGCGCGACACTGTTATTAACCGTTTTGTCTTCGACGCGCGCGGCTCGTGTAGGGACAATATTCGCGCAATGCATACGCATGCCAAAAATTATATCAAATTAAATAAAACATACGAGTGTAACGCGCATGCGTAGCGGTGATTGTGTGAAAATAGTCAGAAAAGTGTTTCAACAAGATTTGTTGGTGAAAATTTAAGCGAAATATAGCCAGTATAGTGAACTTGAGTATTATTAAATGTAAAAAAAATATGTGCACTTAAAAAAATTTTCAGTTTTTACCCTCAAGCTAATTTTCTTACCATTAAAACTTCGTGCGCTCATTTACGCTGAACTTCACGTGAAATTCCATTACAAATGCAAGTGGTGCAAGTAAATTAAGTAACAATAGCTCAGTGAAGAGTGGGCTGAAATAGTAAAAACCAAGTACGAACAGCGAAAAGCAAAACAGAAAATGAAAAACAAAAAATAAAAATCAAAAACTGTTACGAAAATAAAATAAAAKAAAGACATAAGCAACGTAAAACTCAAAAGTAAGCCGAAACAAGCCGCTAAAATATATATTCGCTTTAATAAAAAATTCATCTAAAATTCATAAATAATTCATCTAAAATTTATTTGCGTTTCTTAAAGTGATAGAAAATGCTAAGGATTTTAAAAATTCGTAGTTAATTAAATTTTCTTAAATTTCCATTTTAAAAAGTTTTTGTGTCTGTTCAAACCCTTTAGTGGTGCTTTCAAATATAAAAAAATATTCAATTGCTACTTGCAACATGTTGCGCGCTTTTATAGGCAGCATTGCCGCTAGGAAAAAATTTACACTTTTGAATGCCGTTACAATCGCGCTGCTTTTCAATATTGTATGTCACGTGTCTAGCGCAGAAAAAAATTACAACACTGTTTATAATGAAGTTATCACGCCTGATTTAAAAGACGCTATTACAAAGGAGCTGCCGAAGGAGGCGAAATTCTTCGATGAGCTCGATCGTAAGTTTTAAGAAAATATTTAGTTATTTATTAAAAATGTCTTATATAAATAACCGAAGTGTAATAGCTTAAATTATTATGGTTTTAATCAGGTTCAATAAGTTGGTTTTCTAACTCAGTAGGTGGTTTAGATAACTGCTCAAGCCAGCGATATAAACAACTACAAAGGAGAAAGAAATCACATGGAGCCAAATCTGGTGAATATGGTCGTTCATCGATGGTATTCATGGCGTTTTGGGCTTAAAATTTGGTCGCAATTGTGTCTCGATGCAATGGTGTATTTGCATTGTGTAAAATCCGTGAATTGTTCTTCCACCATTCCGGTCGCTTTCGATGAATTTTCTCACGTAAACGCTTCAATAGGCCCAAATAGAACTTCTTATTGACTGACTGATCTGTCCCTCCGGAATAAATTCATGACGCATCAAACCACGAAAAACGAAAAAAAAGAGCATCACGTTGATTTTTGAGTGGGTTTGGCGATGATTGTTGTTTTGCTTGCATGTCAAACTCATAAACCAATGTCTCGTTGGCAGTTATAATGCTCTCCATGAATGTGTAATCGGAATTCGCAAGATCAAGCATGTCCAGAGAGACCTATTTACGGTACTCTTTTTGAAAAAAAAACAGCTTTATAGGGACGAATCGAGCAGGGGTGCGGTTCATAATCAAAATATCCACCAAAACTAATCGATCGAAATAGAACCAATTTAACCGCGTCTGTGCCAATATTGTCTCTCTTCCAGGGAAGAGTGAAAACGGGGAGAATGGGGCAGGTAGGGACGGAAGGTGGTGCAAAATTAGACACCAGAATCACCTTTCGTACTCCTGCAGTGTCTAATCTCCGTGATAACAACAATTTAATAAAGCCATCTTGTTCTGCAAAAGGGATATATGTGTTTCCTACAAGGAATTGGATATATACCATACTATATATACATTAGGGTGGATTGATTTAGAGGGAGCCAAAAAAAAAAAACGTAAAAATGGCGTAAGACGCTATGGTTCTAAAACTGGTTTCGAGCCTATGATTTTTATCGCGAAGTATGGAGTGAACTAGCCAGAGCGGACATCACCCCACAATTAGATTCCGGAAAAGATGTATGCCCCTAGCTATTTGTTGATATCTAAACGATAAAAATTTTAAAGATATTGCTGAATCTCGGTGGAAGCAATCCCTGAGTTGTTCAACAAGTGGCATGAACGAATCCGGACATGCCGACAATTCAAATTAAAAAAATAATGACATAACAATTCTAGGAGGAGTGCTAACAGAGCACTTCTATATATACTATATTACTATTATAGAAACTGTCATGAGGTAGAAGAAAAAAACAATATAAAAGATTGTTTTGTCGAATGCAAAGATGTGTATACGAAATCACAACTGTAGGTGGAGGGTTTCTTGGAAGATATTGATGAGCTTCACCAGAGGCACAGGGTGGTTGAAAATAGACTTACAAAGTGAAGATGTTTTAGTCCCACTGGTTTCATGCACTGGAATGCACCTCTTAAAGATCTAGGTGCCTCGTCAGATATCCACGCTATCGACTGCCTAAACGTTTCTATAAAAAATATGTTTCAACGTCTATTTACCTGATTTGTCTACTCAATTTGTATTGAATGATAAATATTCGTTTAGGAATAAGCATTTTGGAAGACTTAGCAACTTATGTTTAAATCTATACTACATGCTTGAAAAAACCCCAAAATTTAGTCATAACAATAAGTGGTAAATATTAAGAAATTAATTCGTGTTCATGTTTTCTAACAAAATTTCACGACCTTGGATTATAAAATTTTTGTTCACACCTGACTCTAACGTTTCTTATAATTTTTTCTATACTAAAATTCATGATTCAAAAATTATTCCAATGAGTCAACACGGTCTTCAAAAAAAATTCAAAAACTTAAATCCAATGTCAAAGCGCGATAAAGGTTAATGCAGCATACATTTTGCAAAAATTGGCTGACATACATACATAATTAAATCATATATACGCATGTGAGTACGTGCAGACGAAAGCAACAAATTTGGTAAGCAGATTAATGAGAGAGAAACTTTATTCAAAATAAGCTTGCAGATAATTATAATGGCATTTCAATAATAAGACAATCAAATGGTACTTAACAATAAAAAATAACAGTAATTACTATGGTTCATGTGTGACCTTGATCTTCAATAAAAATGAAACTTATTCGCTTGCTTTTTTACAATTGTATAATCAGCTAAGCCTTATATGACTTTTGGTTGTGTTGGGCTTCGATTGGTAGCTGGTTGTGTTGTGTGCTTATACATGCATAAACGCGAGTATTACTATGTACATATACGGTAAAATTCATTACCTAAGTTATTGTCATAGGCAGCGAAGTTTCCTATATGCATCTGTGAGTATTGGGAAATTATAATCAATTGTTGGTTTTTGTTTTTCCTTCAAGGCCAGCGAATGTTTTGATATTAATATTATAAGCGGAAATTTCTTTAAACATAAAGCAAAATAGTTTTCATTTTAACATATATTACTTACCTACAGAAAACAAAAATTCCGTCTTTAGTGACCTATTTCTACCGAAGTTAATTATTTTGCTATATTATTTGAATACAATTTTTTTATTTATTTTTCCATGATTAATTTACATAGTTGTTTATATTTCTTAATCTATTTTTTGCTTAAAAATTAGAAAGCATTTAAAGATATAAGAGCGAAGCTTAATCAATTCTATTAGGTCAATATCTAATTAAAGTGCTACCTCCAATCTGTGTCCAATTGATCAATTAGTTTTGCCTGAATGAAGACGCTTTGCAAAAGCGGAAAGTAAAAAAAACTTTATCTAAAAAATATTTTAAAATTTTAATAATTTTAAGAAAAAATTAAAAACATATTTTTTCTCCAATATTTAAGAAAATAAAATTCGAAAGTTTTTTTTTTTTTTTTTTTTTTTTTTTTTTTTTTTTTTTTTTTTTTTTTTTTTTTTTTTTTTGTTTTCAGTTTCAAATATAATTATAAGCATTTTACAGTTCGTACAGGTTGATCAAAAACGTGAATTGTGAAAATCTTGCATAACCGAACATTTTGCACTCTTGTAACTCGCAGGAATCAAAGCAGAAGATATACCTTCATCTGTGGCAAGAACTTATATATAATKAGGAACACTTCTCTACCCTGCTGAATGGTAGTGAAGGCTTAAGAACAAAAGATGGTAAACCCGATTTCCAAATCGATGATGATGGAGGAGACGTTCCATTGCCCGACCATGCAGAAGTTCGAATAGCAATTACGCGTCTGAAGAACAACTAAGTAGCGGGAGCCGATGGATGGAAGAACTGATAAGGGGCATGCATGACCTTCTCCACGTCACTGTTGATTGTCGCAACTTCGCAATCGTAGATATAGCTACGTAGGCTAGGTCATGTTGTCTGTATGGATGTTCTGAGAGTATTCGCCGAGGTACCTGCCGGGGGAAGCAGCGGAAGAAGAAGACCCACACTCTGCTGTAAGGACCTAGCAAAAGGGAAAAACGACTGGCCCGCTGCTATAAACTCGACTATAACCGCCTAAGCTGTGTCTATGCCAATAAATGAAAAGAAGAAGACACACCGCTACACCAAGTATTATTCCGAATTTCAATAATACAAGGAGCATTCTAAAGTAAACAGGACTTTTTGAAACTAGTGCCCCCTGATGGCACCATCAATATATGCGTTAGAATCTGCTTGCTTTATAGATTGCCCAGTGAGAATTTTATGACATGTCATAGATTGGAAGTGCAGTTATTGCGTTTTAAGTGTCAAAATCATCGAGCAAAGAGCCAACATTAAATTTTGTTTTAAAATTATTAAAACTTTTACCGAAACGTTTCAATTGATGAAACAAGTTTATGGCGATAATGATTGCCTATCCCATAGCAGAGTGCACGAGTGGTTTCAACGTTTTCAAAGTGGTAGAGGGCGTTCCACAAGTGGGCCAATAAAAATCCGTGATCCGAAATCATCGTTGAAATTCATGGAAATGGAATTAGAAGTCTCCAAAACATCGATTTGTCGCATTCTGACCGAAGATTTGGGCGTACGAAAGATGTGTGCACGGTTTGTTCCGCACAAATTGACTGCCGATCAAAAATTGCTCAGAATACAACATTCGAAGGACGATTATTTCACCAAAAATCACATTTTAACCATTAAACACTCCTCGTATTCACCTGTTATGGCACCGTGCGACTTCTTCCTTTTCGGAAAAATTTATTTGCCCATGAAAAGAAAGCGTTATGCAAACGTAGAGGCCATTCAAAAGGCTTGTACCGGCATACTGGCGGCCATACCGGTCATCGAGCTAAAACACTCATTCGACATGCTTTTGGACCGTGCAAAAATTTGTATTGAAGCAGAATGAGGCTATTTTGAATAAAATAAATTGATTTTGCCGAAAAAACCATTTGTTTAATTTTTTTTTTTTTGCTTAAGTCCTTTTTACTTTTGCACGCACATACATAAGTGTTCGGTTAAAAGTCTACTATAGATATTAGGGTCCACATTTCCGGTATTTGCAGACTTGAACAGTTTTCGTTAGACTTTTTTTGGTCGGAAGTATACCACCTCACGGCTTTAAAGGAATTATGACAACAAAATTGTATCCCGTTATATTAATTACTTCTTGATTTGAACACTGGCAAGAGAAGGAATCAAATGGAATTTGAAATCGTCTTATATGAGAAGTAGGCGTGTTTGTAGTCCAACTTCGCCCATTTTCTCACAAAGACATGGGATTATGTAAAGAATGTAACGGCTCCCGAAATATATTATTTGACCAAAAAAGGGCGTTGCCACACCCATCTTTAAATCTTTACCCGGACTCATACTAAGGCCTTTTACACCTTCTTGGAAGTAAAATTTGTTGTCTAGTTTTTACAGCAACAGACATGGGAAGTTAGCGAGCTTATCTTACAATTTCATAATATTTGCATACTATCGGTAACAGTTCTTTCAGTATTTGTTCTCGGCG